CCGCCTGCTTCTCCTTGAATGTAGCGAGGGATTTGTTGAGACGGAGCATGAGTCCGGACTGGTGCGCACGGAGTACGTGGCGAGCGTGATAGGTTTGGGAGATTCTTGGTAGTAGAAACCGCTTCGACGAAGGTCAGCTGTGGTTTAGTATGGAACGAGCACACTCACGTAGTAGATGAAGAGGATGAATGCGGAGGTACCAGTGAGCCACGTAAATATACGCGCAATCCCAACGAGCATGTTTGGGAGATTGGATGGAGGAAGCTGGGGATATGTCCGTGGTGGTACTGGTGGAGGCTAAGTGCTCACTCATGAGCGACTTGGCTACAAGCCAGCTTGATCACTTACGATTTCCCGGAGTAGTGAATGGATCTCGTCTTGCGTAAGCCCCTTCTCGACGAGGAACGCATGTTTGGATGTGTCGTCCTGCGAGCGAATATGGGGGGTTGATAGGAAAGTGCGAGCTCTTGATATTAGTTCTGAGCGGTTGACGGACGGTTGTGGGATTTGATCAGGTTTGGTTTCTGGTACCGGCTGCACCGGCTGTTTGTCGGTATCGCTTGAGGAAGCTTGCGTTGAAGCCTCAGCTTTCTGATCTGGTTCCATAACACTGATACGGGCTGCCGGAAGGGGATCTGGAAGTTATAGTACACTCCTGATGGTAAGGGAATGTTTGTTTGTTTCTAAAGTCATAGCCAAACAAATCGAGGAGCTTCCAGTCTTACATATTACTGTTAGGTCACCGTGTATTGCACGCGTACTTGAAGCAGGACCAGAGAAACTTTAGTAGTGCACCGTTAGAGTCTTCAAAGGGCTTCAGATTCCAGTATGGCTTCCACCGCTCTAGCAATGGGTCAACGAGTTTCATCGTCTCATGAAGGTCGTCATCGGGTCAGGTGAAATCACTTGACACTGCACCACAACAAAACAAACCTTTCTATATCATGCAGCATTACTCGAAATACTGGAATCTACATCTACACTTATCCTCGATGAAGTGCTTGTCGTGCACGGACTGATACGGCGATAATGAACTACCTTGTAGTACGGACGCTGGGCAAACCTCACTCATCTTCGACTTGACTGTTCGACAGCTCTGCCAATGGGGAGCCGGATGACAAGCGGCATGTCTGGATCCCTGAGAGGCCCTCCATCCTGTGACCGAAACGCAAGATTATTGACCGTTATAATACACCAGCAAACCATTATTAAAATTTACGAGATATCTCACAGTTATAGTTGGAACTTCCTGGGTGTCACGCGATAAGGCTTGACAGGCCATATGACCTCATCCGCTATCGCCTAATGCGCCAGGTGAGAGAGTATTAAAGGAAGATCGGAGTCTTGAGAATAATACCTTTTAACATGAGTGAGCTCCAGCAGAGAGTCGCTATCATCGGCGCCGGGTAAGTGTCACTTTTGATTTGATTCTACACCAACTGAACACTAGACTGCGCAGTGTTTCCGGGTTGACCCAAGCTATTGCCCTCAAAACCAAGCTTAAATTTCACAATTTCACAGTGGGTGCATCCATGCAATGAGTGGTATGCTCGCTGAGTATTTCAATAGATATTTGAGAAAGGGTCTGAAGTCGGTGGTGTGTGGCGGGTACGTTTTTGTCATGCACCAAACGTTCTCCTGACATTATTTTCCATAGGCTAACAAATACCCTGTATATATTATCAACGACTGAAACTGCAACACATCGCTCACCTCGAAGATTCTTTTAGGGATGCTCGTCGGATGTCGAGATTCATTGGTACAGCTTATCGACAGACCTTTACCCATACTGGAACAAGTCCCATGGCCTTCAACCGGAGATTCAAGCCTACTGGATTAAGCTCTCAAGGAAATATAATCTATACCCGCACATCGCATTCAACACGAAAGTGTTATCCGCCCAGTGGGATGATGCCAAACAACAGTATACCATCGTCACGGAAGATGTCTTTTCAGGCAAGCGGACGACGAGCGTGGCCCACGTCGTGATATCTGCCCTTGGTATTTTGGAGGCCCCAAAGATGCCATACGAGATCCCTGGAGTTCGGAAGTTTCAGGGGGCTTCGTTTCACTCCGCACAGTGGCCAGACTCAATAGATCTGCAGAATAAGCGTGTTGCAGTGATTGGAAATGCCTCTTCCGGGTGAGTTATACGACTTCTGCACATTCATTATGTAGTGATTCAGACATATGATAAGAGCACAATTCGTACCATCTGTATCTGAAGATCCGTCTGTTGATGTAGTCAACTTCATCCGCACTCCGACCTGGTTCAATACTCGAGTAAGAGTCTTTATGTTATGCTTAATGATTCGCAAACTAAACCAAACATCTAAGCCACATATTCCGTACTCGGACACTGCAAAGTGGATATTTGCTAACATCCCCCTGGCGATGCGACTGCACCGAGCTTGGATCATGTTCCGGGTCAGGCCTCCTGCATTACAGAATTTTAGCTTGCTGACATTTATTACAGTTCGTTGCTCCCCTTCACTTACCCATGGGTGATAAAGCTCTCCTGAAACAACGTGACGTGAGCAGGGGTCGCGAGCTGGGTATTCAGTCTAACGTTTCTACTTAGGCGATGACGAAATACATTCTCGACAACACACCAGACAGATACCATTCTCATATGATACCTGATCATCGTACGTGTCCGATCAAGGAGGTTTGTTTGTGCTCACATGTTCCACAGCTCCAGGTTGCAAGCGGACTGGTTCGTCGGCGGTAGTCAAGCTGACTGGTTATTCTCTTTCTCATTTCACTTTACATGCAGTCGCGGACAGTGGTTTCCTGAAAAGTCTCTATCGTTCTAACGTGACACTGAACTTCGACGGAATCGCTGAGATAGTGGAGAATGGCATCATCACAAAAACTGGTGTGTAGGCCGTCAATTATATCATCACTTTCCTCACATCAGTTTAGGTGAAATGTTGCCATTTGATGTCATTGTATATGCGACCGGATTCATCGGCGTGAGTTGCCATACATGACCCAACATTCCATTGGATGTCAACTGCAAAAACAGGAGCGGTATCCGATGCACGTTCGTGGTTCGAATGGAGCCACTGTCCAAGGCTATTATGATGCGCACGGTGGCCCTACTGCGTACCTCGGGACTGCAATTCCAGATACACCAAACTTTTACTTGATCAATGGTGAGTTCAGATGGGAACGTATCGTCATCAACTGTCACCTGAGGTTAATCGCAGGACCAAATACTGGAACACGAGCATCAGCGTTGTTCATTGCAGAAGTGCAAGTAAGTACACCTTGGTTTTTGTATCTTTCTACTCAAGTTTGTCGCAAGGTTGCATACATCCTTCAACTCATAGAGCCGGTCCTTACCGGTTCTGCCTCATCTTTCACCATCAAAGCCACACCCACCGATGTATACAACGCCAAGTTGCAAGAAGAGCTCTCTCGCTCGGTGCACGTACACTGCTACTCTTGGGCGCGTACAAAAGGTACAGACAAGGTATTCTATCCTTTTCCTTGGCCTTCGACGGTTTGGTGGTGGTTGCTTCGTAGACCAAATTGGGATCATTATATGGCTGTCGGGGCCAAGAAATGGGTATGGGCAAGACGAATGAAGGCTGTCAAGAATTTTTTGAAATGCAGCGCAGTCTTGATGCTATTGTGGTCATATATCAGCGGCTCTGCACAGCGCACATTGTGGTCAGTCCATCATTGTTCTCAATGCCTATCGGTAAAATGATATCTATCTCTAGGCAAGCGACTACTGTGACGTGTGGCTACTTGAGTAAATTTACCTTCCGTCTTTAAGGCGCCATAGGTCTACGAGACACACCATAAATATGTGAAATAGAAACTGGTCAGCTTGTCTCCTGATCTTACAATGGACTTTGCCTATGGGTGGAATTTGCACATCGACGAAGCGTTGGTGGAGAGCAGTGATGTGCACGCGCTCATTCCGTACCAACTATTTTCAACTGACACGTTTCACTGCACTGCGCATATCGAACATCCGCGATGAAATCAACTTCAGACATACTTGCTATCAAGACTATAGGGAGAGACATTTTGAATTCCAACAATGCCATGGAAAGAGTAGGAGGAAGTCATAATGATATTAAACTGAGAGCAGCTCGGAGCACGGTACAGGTCAAGACAACTGTTTAGGGCAGCACCAAAGGGGTTCAAGGGGAGTGCACACATGGCGTCGACTTGAATTGCTTCCGTAGGATCAAATGCTCCATGCTTACAGTAAATCCTGACAGTTTTGGTCAGTCTATCGAGTATCTACATAGGTTGGCATGTACGCACCTCGGGGACATATCCTATGTTTCTGAGACGGCCCTCGCGAGGCGTGAAGGTGAACTCCTTTTCATGGACAAACTATCACGCGCAATGACTATGTAGGCCTACTAAGTTGGGATGGAGGATCTATACACCGCAAAAAAATTGTCAGTAGGTTTCGAACCAATTCCAAGAGAACAGATTTTGACTCTGTTGTGATAACCTCTTGGCTAAGACCAATTAGATCGACCTCTGAGGAAACCATCCACGAGCCAGTGTCAAGGTATGTTCCGATAGAAAAAGATCATCATTCAGCAGGTTTCGAACCTTCACAGTCCATCAACAGATTTTGATTCTGTTGTAATAGCCACTTGGCTGAGACCAGTTAGGATGAGCCTCTAAGGAAACCATCCATGAGTGAATGTCAAGGTGTTCTGATAGAAAAAGAAACCTTGTTGGCAGGTTTCGAACCTGCGCAGAAACAGATTTTGATTCTGTTGTGGGCACCACATTGGCCAGGACGGAGTTGAGATGAACCTGTGATGAATCATCCACGAGTGAATGTCAAGGTGTGTTCCGATAGAAAAACCTTGTCGTTGGCAGGTTTCAAACCTGCACAGTCCAAGCGAGACAGATGTTGACTCCGTTGTTGTAACCACTTGGCTAAGACCACTTAAGACTAACATCCAACGAACCATCCATGAGTGAATAGATGGGTGTGTTCCGATAGAAAACAATCTTGGCATCGGCAGGTTTCGAACCTGCGCCATCCAAGAGAAACAGATTTCGATTCTGTCGTGATAACCACTTTGGTCAGGGCGCTTCCCAAGTCGAGATAAACCTCCATAGAACTGTCCATGAGTGAAGGTGAAGGTGAAGGTGAAGGTGAAGGTGCGATAAGAGGGAAATTCGTTGTCGGCAAGTCTCGAATCCGCACCACCCAAGAGAGTAGATTTCTATAGAATCACATAGGATTGGCAGTCATTTTCAAACGCAAAAAGACTCGTTTGCGTTTGATTCGATGGACATAAAACATGACAGGAACTTCTTCATCCGTTTGCTACCTGTGAGGTTGAGAGTTTTGAGACGGGAATTATGAGAACATTTGAAGGCCACTCTGGGTACCGAGCCCATCGATATCTCCACGGACGGCACAGTGCTAGCCGCGGGGGCTGATTACACAGGGAATTTGAATATGAATTTACCAGTGTCCGATTATTGGACACTGGCAAACTCATATTCAAAATTGCTTGCGCAATGACTGGACCTAGCTATCAGGATGGACCTCCGAGGATCTATACACCGCAAAAATGTATTCAGCAGGTTTCGAACCAACTCCAAGAGAAACAGATTTTGAGTCTGTTGTGGTAACCACATGGCTAAGGTCAGTTAGATGGACCACTGGGAAAACCATCCATGAGCCAATGTCAAGGTACGCTTCGATAGAAAAAAACTAACCGTCATTTGGCAGGTTTCGAACTTGCACAATCCAAGCTAGAAACAGATTTTGATTCTGTTGTGGTAATCACTCAGGCTCGGCTAAGACCAGTTAAGATGAGCCTCTGAGGAAACCATTCATGAGTGAATGTCAAGGTGCTCTGATAGAAAAAGCAACCTTGTCGTCGGCAGGTTTCGAACCTGCCCGGTCCAATAGAAACAGATTTTGATTTTGTTGTGGTAACCGCTCTCGCCAGCACAAAGTTAAGATGAGTCATTATAGTCTCCACGGCATCTGGACATCCTTTTGACCTAATTATATCTAACTTTTCGCACAAAAGAACATTTTATTACATAAGGTGCTCCGGATCAAACCTTCCCTCGCACTCAGGCTCGTACCTGTGACTACTCCGAAACTACCATTTCGAATGCGAGAAAGCTGACTATCGTCAACGATGGCTTTTGAGGTCCAGGTGTGATGGACAGTCGAGGGTGTTATGGCCAGGTCTTTGTTACATGAATGCGAAACAGCGTCACTGTCGCGATATGACACCGAACCTGACTGGTACTAGTAGTACAAGATTCTGTCGAAGCGCAGCGCTGATCAGGGCCTGAGTGCTGTGAGTTCAATGCAGCTATGCAGCATGTGCATAAAGTTCTGCAGGCGAATTTGGAATATGCGGATATCAGCAAAACTACGAGACACAGGAGAATGCACAACAAACTTACCCTACCCTGACGGAGTCCTCGGACGCACCTCGAGTCATAAGTAGCGAAGATGTAGCAGGACGCATCTGCCCAAAAGTTGGATACTTGTGAGCTTAGGTTGTTGCTGAATACCCATACATAATTCAAATAGCAGAGGAGCTCTCGAGTGTACGAGAGAATGCATGAGGGGTTCGAACTGGAGCTCAGTGGCACACAGCAAGCACTACAGGCTGTATGGGTTTGAGCGCTCGAACACGAAGATGGTATGATAATGCGCCGAAACACGAGAAGCAGATCTGAAGATCTGAGAAGGAGCAAGCTATACGCAGGAAAAGGTTCTTAAGCGGCGGTAGATATGACCATGTGCCCATCATTCCCAGGCGGTTGCAGCTAGTATCTTTGGTAAGAACTCCACTATTGTAAGTCGGCTGATTGAGACGGAGAATCAAAGGAGAACGTGTATGAAGCATGTAACGAAGAGTGATTGCGTATGTAAAAGAAAAGGATGAGTACGTACGAGAGTGACGTCGATAGTCATACAGGTGAAATGTTACCGTATGTAGCAGGGACATAGCAAGACTACGCCGCAAGAGCATCTGCTCACGAGTCAGATACCCGCCGCAATACTTGACCGTCGATGAGAGCGAATGCCCACGCGTGACTCAAGTATCAGAGGAGCCTGCGAGTGTAGGAGACGATGCACACCTCGCTCGAATTACCGTGCAGTGCTCTACAGCAAATATTGCAGCAGACTGTGTTGATTGTGTGATGGAACATGAGAAGCAGGTATGAGGGCGAAAGCACATGCTGTATCATGCACAGGATCGAAGGGCTTCTTAAGAGGGGGTAGATGCACCTGCCAGCCTGAGTGCGTGCCCATCATCTGCATCATCAGACGAGTGCAGCTAGCCTTTTGGTAACACGAAACTCTCATCTCGACCTGCAGCACGGATCAACCTTCAGCAGGAAAGTTCAACAGCGGTCCATCCAGTTGGGCATCTTCAAAGTCTTTATCAACTTCAGGACAGCATACAAGGAGACCCTTCAAACATATCCAAATAGCTGAGATACTCGGCGAAGACATCGGCCATGGCTTCCAGCTCGACGCAGCCTGGTGCAGCATCAAACAAATTGATTCTGACACCAATCATGACCTTGAAGTGACGTAAATTATCTCGCTACTATTCAAATGGTGAGGTACGGCATCACCGATCGGTTATGTGCACTTGCTACTTTCCGGATGGCAAGCACATGATCAGCGGATCATGGGATAAGCCCATTCGACGATGGGACCTGCGTGCTGGTAAGGAGATTGAGGAGGAGATGCGAGAAGTCGATGAGCAGGAACTACTGAATCAGGTGAGGGTGTCAAGGGATGGTCGATGGTTTGTTACTGCTGGTAAAACTCGCGATCGCCACGAAGGCCTAGGGGATCTCAAAGTTTGCGAGATTGCGACGGGGAATGTGAGAAAATTTCAAGAATATTCAAGGGAATCCGGTGGGTACACCTACATCGATATCTCTGCAGACAACACACTACTGGCGAGCGGGTCGTACGATGGCACAGTGTACATATGGGGATTAGACACAGGAAAACTCGTCGCTGGTCCATTCAAAAGGGATATGGGGGTGGGCGCGGTTCGGTTCTCACAGGACTCGAAGAAGCTCGCAGTCAGGTCAAGTGCGGCAAAGCGGCTTGAAGTGTGGGATGTCGAAACACAGAAATTGGATGCCGGAGTGGGGAAAGTTCGTGGAGGGCCAGTGTCTGATGTGCCGGTGTTCTGGACAACCAAAGACAAAACAATTGTGGCCTTGCTGGACTTCGAGGACGAGTCGGACTACTGGGGTCAAAAGACAATCTATGAGTTCGATGCATCGACACTGCAGACAGTCGGAGCCCCCTTCGGGAGGCGCGCCCAAGTCATCACTAGTCTAGCACTTTCATTCGATTGTGCTCTTCTCGCTAGCGCTTCCCATACTTGGGGCAACAACACCATCAAACTCTGGGCCTTCGAGTCTCGCCAACTCCTCGCCTCGTTTGACATTAAGGGGGCCGATCCCAGACACCTTCTCTTCTCACCCAACTCACCCCCGGAGCTGTCTTACTCGACTGACAGTGAGATCCACATATGCAACATTCCGCCTGAGATCATCTGGCCTAACGTAAGTGCACATATCTATCCGTTCGCACGCTGACATTCTCTTTCAGACGAGTGTAGCTCTCGGTGATTTACTCAATGTACGTGACCAACTATTCACCCACACCGAGTACTACACTCAATGCCATTATAACAGTCCGACGCAACACCTCGTCGTAAACCAGTCATCTCACATGTCACATCTTTTGCTCCTTCCCCTCCCACACACTCACAGCGACCCGCCTTCCTCCGTCATCTTCGCAAACTCATTCCCTCTCCTCCTGTTCGGAATGATCATCCCCGTGACCCCCTGGATGTACGCCTCGTTTACTCATTTACTTCGCATTTGACTTGACCATTCTTTGCAGTTCCCTGCTACATCTCCCCTACCTCACAACTATTCACACTCGGCACAGGAAACAGCAAATACTCGTTTGCGTATAATCCACGAGAATGTAAGTGTCAACTGCCACAAGCATATCTTCGACTTACATCTTTCAGTCTCGGTCCCAACCAGCACCATCACCCATCACACAGTCCCGCCACAACCACTGATGGCCCGTTCGTATAGGCCATGCATCTCTGCCTATCGTCGATGTTCCTCACGCCCCGGGCAAACTGGTATGCACCCTTCATTTTTCTTACTGCAGTCCAGGTCTCATACATCCGTTTCCAGCGCAACGCTGCAGCTGGTGCTCCCACCCAAGACGACGATGACTTGATTCGTGATGAAGACTATGTCCCCCCGTGTCCTCCACCGAACCCTAATTCACAGCCATCGCCTGCAGTCATCAACACCGGAACACACAGAAGTGGCCGGTTCTGCGGTTGCTTCTAGATCGTCGTATGTCGATATCAACTTCTCAATATGTGGCCACTAGTACAACCCTCGAATTACTTCCCCTCCTTGTATCAATACTATAACTAAACTTCACGTATCGAGACCTGTGCAGCGAGGAAGCTGACGGTATGGTCGCTGGCTTTGAGGTCAGGGTGTGATGCTTGTTATTACAAACGACTCGTACATCTAACTATTACTGGTGTTTCAATTCACGTCTTGACGAGGCATGTTTCTGCCATCGGTCTGTTCAATTCGAACCCAGTTCTATGGAATCGGCATTGGCGATCGAAGGTGTTTGCCAAGCACAGAACGCACGACCATCCAACAACCCCCTGCAGCGCAGATCAACGCCGGAGAGCATGGACCCGGCTGGTTGTGTCTGCTTCTGATACTTTTCTTTGATTGCGTTGCTTGACTGCAATAACGTCGACTTCTTGATATGCAGCCACTAGTATACCCCTCCGATCACTCGCCGTCCTTGTATGAATGAGATGTGAGTCTCGCGTCTAATGCAAGCACAGCCCTTGATCCCTAATATCTCCCTGCTTACAAGCTTTCGCGTGGGATGAAGAAGAATCTTGTTCAGATGACACGTCTGTCTGTGAAGCCAATGGGCAGTCGATCAACAGTCGATTATTGCGAGTTCCACATAGCGTGCTCTTTTTTTTTTTTTTTTAAATCCAATTTATGTCCATGTGG